CCAATGGTTTTGCCGAGTAAGAGCAGAAATGTTGGTAAAGATGGGAAACTTCTGCGATTCAGTCGAGTAAGACATACTGTCTCCCTTATACAACTTTCACTACTTTCGGAAGTTTTGCATAGAGTGCTTTATCTGAAAACTGGCTGAAATCTTTTTATAAAGATTTCAAATGCAAACATGTTTACGTATGTGGGAGATTAAAATAGAAGGAAACTTGCTGATTTTTCATAATCCTTTTCTCCGCTGTTTCATTAATGTATGACCTTATTCGACATACATTTTTGCTGCATCGCCACCAATCACACTTTCTTTTCCGTGACTTCCGTAATATGTTTGGATCCTACTCTCTCACCAAACTGCTTTGTTGCTCTAGAGGAATACACATTTACTGTCAATTATGTTTGCTGACCATTATCTTACGTTTAGCCTATGCTTACAGATCCTCTAACAAGGCTAGGTATCCTTAGGTGTTGGCTGAAACGGCTTCAACCAATTGAGGTCAAGAACTTTTCCTACTGCCTTACTCGTATGATCTAATCTTTGCACGAAGAACACATGATGACATATGGGTCCAAACACTACCACTATGGTAGATCACCTCGTCAAGAAATGTTGGACGACATGAGGGAGGAGCTGATGAAAACCAAAAAGGTAGAAAATTGTTTTTTTCATAAAAACACTTTATATATCTTAGATTTTGCTTCTTTCCTTTGTCGACATCATAAAACGCTAATCATCTTTTTTTAACAAATAATTCTTTACTCAAATTAGCTTCGTTTTTTCGCGTCTATTTTTGGCAAATAGCTTGAAGGTGCTGCCTCGGAGCTGAAGGCAGGCAATATTGCAGTAGGTTGCAAAAAAACGTCATTATCAACGCTCTGTGGCTTTGCCCTTATTTTTGGACTTTGGTGATCTTTTTTAGTTTTTTATCTCATCAATTCTGTTAGCCTATTTTCCTCATTGCCATTAATTTCTCGTATTGTTGAGGCAAATGCGCAGCTTGCTTTGGACAATCGTCTGCTAACCACAAAGCTACAACGACTGACGAAAGAAATCAAAATATACTCTGGTACAACTCCTCCGAAGGTAAGCAAGAAACTTTTAAAGTGTCTCGCCATCATGTAAGAGATAAATGTCGGTGGAAGAAAACACAAAGTATTCTTTTACGAATAAGCCTTGGCCACTGTAGCAAATTAACAAATTTTCTTTGCTATGAAAACGCAGTGCAAAATTTTCCAGAATGAACATGCGGAACATGCACATTATCATGCCTCGAGCTCTAGTTCTCAATCGCGTTCTAAAACTCCACAGAAGAAAAGAGGACGTTCAAAACAAAGGTCTACATTTAGCCTTTCTCCTCTCAATTCGTCTACATC